ACCACTGTGACCACAAATGCAAGTTTTTACAGACGAATCTCCAGCTAGCGTGGCCGTGACGAACTCTAGCTCAAGTCTCCTCACTGCCGTCAACATGACTCACGAAATCGTAATGACACGATTGCATACAAACCACACCAAGGTTTGTGGCTAACGCGACGGTTTGGAGTTTTGAGACTCTCTGACTGCGGGTTCAATCCCGCCCATGGTATGGTCGTAGGTAACTTAAAGCAGCTAAAAGTTCTCATGAAGACAGTGAGACTTAACTATGCAGAAGAGTGAGAGATTATATTCCAGTAAAAGTAGACATTAGAGATATATTATGATACAATGGTTGCTTAACAAATCTACGGAAGGGATTGTTGAAGAAGCAATTGCTGGAGTGTTGCCAGAGATGTGGATTAAGAGATAAAATTTTTAATACGACATAGGATTATTCACAGTTGCTTTTAACTTATGATACCGTTCTTTTAGGATATTCTGAAGAGAAGTGAACATAGGAAAGAGTAAGTGGATGACAGTGGCAAACAATTTAGGTAATGAAAGACAGTTAAGATTGGAAGGAAGTAGTATGGAGAAAATTAGCGTGTTCAGGTATTTATAAGTTGACATGCCAGCGGATGGGTCTATCAAAGATGAAGTGAAGCATGGAATTGCCGAAGGAAAAACGTAGGTGGTGAATTGAGGTATCAATTCACCACCTATGTTTTTCATGGAAGCAAAAAGGAGATTATATAAGAGTATAATACATTACAGCATACCTATATGGGTGTGAAGAATGGGTTTTGGAGGTTGTAGCGAGTAGTTTGGAGGTGACGAGTAGTTTGGAGTTGTAGCGTAGTTTTGAGGTTGTAGTGAGTAGTTTGGAGGTTGTAGCGAGTAGTTTGGAGGTTGTAGCGAGTAGTTTGGAGGTTGTAGCGAGTAGTTTGGAGGTTGTAGCGAGTAGTTTGGAGGCAGTGGAAATGTCATGTCTGATCGCAATGTGTAATGCAAATTTTATAAAGAGAATTCGAAGTTTGGAGATTAGAATTAGGTGTGAGGCTACTAAAAATATAGGTAAACTGTTCAGTAAACTAACAACTTGATAAATCAGACACTTGTGCAAAACTTGGGTATCTTTACTGTAAAAACATTTCGCTAACTAGTGGTTTCCTCAGTCCAATACGGTGAAGAATGATTGAATATAAGAAGGAACTTGAGGTATTCAGTCCCTCAACCCAAGCTGATGGACTGAAGAGGGGCAATTTGAACTTAAAATTAGGATGGAGCAAAATTTGATGACATGGAGGGTGTATAAATTTGTAGTGTAAATAATGACGGGTGGAGGTCATCCTAGGAAAAGTTGGAGGGAGGGGATAAAGGAGGTTTTGTATGCCAGGGGCTTGGACATTCACCAGACCTATGTGTGTAAGATGGGAGTAGAGGTAAGTGGTTTTTTGTAACTAGATGTGCTGTTGGAGTGTGAGCAAGCTAATTCATGAAGGGATTTAGGGAAACCTGTTAAACTGGGAGTCCTGGAGGTGGCAAATACAGTGCCTACACTCTGAAGGAGGGATGGGGATATTGCAGTTTGGAGGGTCATCTGAACTGTATTGCCAGCACGCTTCTGACAAGATAGTTTGAGTGAGTCATGGTGCAAGTCTTTTTTTTCCTTTCTCGGGACACCTCACCTTGGTGGGAGACGGCCGGTGTGCTCGGAAAATAAATTATTTCATTGTTAAGATAAAGTTTGATTGCATCTTTTGTTAGTTACAAGGTAATGTGTTTGAATTCACTCTTGTCTCACAATTTCCAGAGGAACAATTTAAAATAACCCATTATTGACCATTAAAATGCCACGAATTGGTGAAGTTCCTGGAGAGATCCAAACATTGTCTAAAAGTTTCGTTAACAAATTGTTGGTTGGTAGTGAGTTGTTCCAACAACAGTATTGTGACTTATATTAATAATATTCTTCCAATTATTTAAATAAAAAAAATCCTAGCGAAATTCCTCTGTGAGAAGCGAAGGTTCCAATCTTTGCTTAAGAAACTGAGGACGCAATCAACTACCAGGACCAATGTTCTTTCAAGGATATTTTTAACCTTATTAAATATCTCGCTGGGAATTCCAGCAAACCCAGAGTCTAATTTCGCATCGCTCTTCATCCAGCTAAACTCGACGCCATGTAAGTTATATTATCAGGGTTTCAAAGGACCAAGAATAGTAGGTAATTACGAATATCGTAAAAGAACGGAGAGGGAGACTGGGAGAAATATACTTGTGCGTTTTGACTTTCTTCCTCCTCCTCCTCCTCTGTCCGTAGTATCTCTTGGTCAGACACTATAATACGAACCCTTTACGCACAATTATCAAGATGGTGAAGGGAACCATGTAAAAAAAAGTTAAATAGATACTATTATTAGCTTTACTTTATCATCTGCCGACCATCTGCCTGTCTGCTCACCTGCACGAGAATTACACTGGATCATGCCTCAGGCTAAAATAGGAACTTTAACCTTTCCTCCTCCTGGAGCACAGCCACAATTATACAGAGTCTCGCCGAGTCTGAAGGATCTGTAAGTCATTAACAGGCAAATGAGTTTCCCTCTTTCCTAATATGTTTATTTTTCCTCTATTATCTACCTTGTGCATAATTAGTATCAAATTTGCTTTTTCTGAGTTCGTAAAGTGAAGTCCAGGATTTTTCCATAATTCAAGGTACAACTTAACAAATCTTTGAGAGCAAATGTGTTGGAGATGTCCGAGCAAAGCTTAGACCTCTCCACTGAATGACACCCGAATTGCCATGACAATGTTCTCCATCGAGACACCACAAGACTCCAAGCGGACATCAACCAAATCTTTAAATGAGCCACTGATAGCAATATGAAGTTCAATAATGAGAAATTTCAACTACTCAGATATGGAAAACTTGAGAAAATTAAAACTGTATAAAGGCATATAACAAATTCTAACCACACAATAGAGCAACAAAATATTGTGAAGGACCTGGGAGTGATAATGCCAGAGGATCTTACCTTCAAAGACCACACTGTATTCACCTCATCTGCCAGAAAAATGATAGGATGGATAATGAGAAACTTCAAAACTAGCGACGCAAAGCCCATGATGATTCTCTTAAAATCGCTTGTTCTCTCTAGGCTGGAATACTGTTGTACACTGATTGCCCCCTTCAAGGCTGGCGAAACTGCCGACCTGACGAGTGTACAGAGAACATTCACGGCACACATAAGTACGATAAGGCACCTAAATTACTGGAATGCAGGCGAGAAAGATACATGATAATAAACAATTGGAAAATCCTAGAGAGATTAGTACCAAACCTGTACACGAAAATCACTCCCGATGAAAGCAAAAGACTCGGCAGGGGAGGCAACATTCCCGGAATGAGAAGCAGGGGCGTCACGGGACAGGATGGGTAAAAGTAAAAAAAAAATAACTACGCTAACGTTATATTATAAATAAGCATAACAGACATAATACCATAACATAAACTGTTATAAATCTTACGGAACAGACGTTAACATAGTCGGCATTTTCGTTCTTACATTGTGGGTTAGCAGTGAATATAAATACTTGTTTGTAAGAAAATATTTAGGTTTTCCAGGCTTTGCTACAGTTGTTGGTCCAGCCTCTAAACTATCCATTGATAAATGTTAATTAACGCTGCTGAATCCAAGTTTGAACACTTGCATGGAGTTCCCTTCAGTTTTGAATGCTAGATATGATATTAACGTAAATGTTTCATGGTTCGAGTACCAAGAATCACGTCTCTACCTGCTCTTGCCCTGATTAATCCACATGGGTTTATTACTTCACTTTGTAATAATATTATTGATTCATTCAGTTTCTCCATTGCTCTTATGTTTTACTGACTGTCAGATGATCAGTTTCCTTCTGTGACGTCACGTCATGTATCGGATATATTTCTTTGCTTCACTTTCTAAATCCCCTGTGTCAATTTTTCTCTTGAATCAAATAATGTGATTTTTTTCCCCATTTGTGACTCACTGTTTGTAATCCATTCCTCTTTTGTCTCGTCTGAAAATTTTCTTATCATTTTCCTTTCTTCAAAATTCTTTCCCTCTCTAAGAATCATTCCAAGTTAATCGCTGCAGTATTTTCTACGTCGTGCACATGTCATTTCGTGGTCATATTTCTCATTCTGACCTGGTACTGGGACTGAACATTTAAATAGTGCAACTTAATACATTATAGAAACGTCGAAACTCATACTTGACCATTATTCTTACCTGAATTACATTAATTTTTTTTGTTTAAGGGAAAGTAAAGGTTCTACACTGACTCTGATAACATAAACACACACTGAAGGATGAAAATGGAAAATACAATATATAAAAATCCTATGAACCGTCTTTTATCTGTCACCATCTTTTACACTGTTGACATTAATAAATACATGTGCAGGAGACTGACATCACTGATATAATGCTATACCAGTTTATTCTTCTACTCTTCCGAGTGATGTTTCCTCCCTGTCTGTGATTCTTGGTGAAACCCCAACAGTATTTTCGACTTGATTTAATATTCTTTTCTAAGAATCGTATTGGTGTATTTAATAGGAAAGTCTCTCGGGGACAAGTTTATTGTTTATGGCTGGCTAGCTGCGCCAGTTCCAGCATCCTGGTATGTTTAATGACTTTCTAAAATGGCATTCTTAGAGTGTCAGCCCCTTGCTAGAGGTAGGATGTAGGATGAAAGATAAGGTAGGAGAGAAGAATGAAGAGATAGAATGGAATGATGTAAGCAGAAGTAGGATGGAAAGAAAATAGAGGTTTTTCTGGAAGGATGAAAGAGGAAGCAAGACTGATGAATCAGTGTAGAAGGATAAGAGAATGACATAAGTAGAATGAAAGAAGATATGTGATGGTAAATGAAAACGGAAGAAGGAATGAAGGACAAAAGAGTGAAAGTTGAGATATTATGAAAAACAGTAAATTTTCAGAGCTAAAATTAAGTCTCTTCCCTCTCTGGCAGGATATCGGTCCTTCAGTAATCAATAGACCTGAGAGACTGAAGGTCCCCGACCACATCTGACCAATAAGGTATTTACTGATATATTTTATCCACTATATATGCATAGATATTTTCCGCAAGTTGTCGATACCAGGTAATAATAAAATTAATAATATTAACTTTTAATAATTATAATAATTTTTTTTATGTGAATGCTAACTAAGAAAATTACATTTCGATTATTAATTTGTTAGTCACATGTTTATGTTGTATGTCCAGACTTTGTATGTCAGGAAGATGTATGTCCTAACTCGGCTTGTCTTAGACACGTGTCAGAGAACAAGTGTTATACTTGAACACAAAAATATGTTATCGATGCATTTTTATAATGGTTATTGAGAGTCAAAGTAAAAGAAACATTACGAAAATGAATTAAAACTGACTGGTCTTCAATTATCTCTCCTCTCCTTCACACTGTTCTTCTCTCCTTCACACTGTTCTTCTCTTCTTCACACTGTTCTTCTCTCCTCTCCTTCACACTGTTCTTCTCTCCTCTCCTTCACACTGTTCTTCTCTCCTCTCCTTCACACTGTTCTTCCTTCCTCTCCTTCACACTGTTCTTTTCTCCTGGCCTTCACACTGTTCTTCTCTCCTCTTCTTCACACTGTTCTTCTCTTTTATCCTTCACACTGTTCTTCTCTTCTTCACACTGTACTTCCTTTCTCCCGCACACTGTTCTTTCCTTCACAATGTTCTCTCCTCTCCTTCACACTGTTCTTCTCTCCTCTCCTTCACACTGTTCTTCTCTCCTTCACACTGTTCTTCTCTCCTCTCCTTCACACTGTTCTTCTCTCCTCACCTCACTGTTCTTCTCTCCTCTCCTTCACATTGTTCTTTTCTTCTCTCCTTCACACTGTTCTTCTCTCCTCTCCTTCACAATGTTAATCTCTCCTCTCCTTCACACTGTTCTTCTCTCCTCTCCTTCACATTGTTCTTTTCTTCTCTCCTTCACACCGTTCTTCTCTCCTCTCCTTCACACTGTTCTTCTCTCCTCTCCTTCACAATGTTCTTCTCTCCTCTCCTTCACTATGTTCTTCTCTCCTCTCCTTCGCAATGTTCTTCTCTCCTCCCCATCACACTGTTCTTCTCTCCTCTCCTTCACACTGTTCTTCTCTCCTCTCCTTCACACTGTTCTTCTCTCCTCTCCTTAACACTGTTCTTATCTCCTCTCCTTCACACTGTTCTTCTCTCCTCTCCTTCACAATGTTCTTCTCTCCTCTCCTTCACATTGATCTTTTCTTCTCTCCTTCACATTGTTCTTTTCTTCTCTCCTTCACAATGTTCTTTTCTCCTCTCCTTCACAATGTTCTTCTCTCCTCTCCTTCACATTGTTCTTTTCTTCTCTCCTTCACACTGTTTTCTCTCCTCTCCTTCACACTATTTTTTCTCTCCCCCCTCCTTCACACTGTTTTTCTCTCCTTCACACTGTTCTTCTCTCCTCTCCTTCACACTGTTCTTCTCTCCTCTCCTTCACACTGTTCTTCTCTCCTCTCCTTCACACTATTTTCTCTCCTTCCTTCACACTGTTCTTCTCTCCTTCACATGTTCTTCTCCTCTCTCCTTCACACTGTTCTTCTCTCCTCTCCTTCACACTGTTCTTTTCTCCTCTCCTTCACACTGTTTTCTCTCCTCTCCTTCACACATTCTTCTCTCCTCTCCTTCACACTGTTCTTCTCTCCTTCACATGTTCTTCTCTCCTCCTTCACACTGTTCTTCTCTCCTCTCCTTCACATTGTTCTTTTCTCCTCTCCTTCACACTGTTCTTCTCTCATCTTCTTCACACTGTTCTTCTCTCCTCTCCTTCACACTGTTCTTCTCTCCTCTCCTTCACATTGTTCTTTTCTCCTCTCCTTCACACTGTTCTTCTCTCCTCTTCTTCACACTGTTCTTCTCTCCTCTCCTTCACACTGTTCTTCTCTCCTCTCCTTCACATTGTTCTTTTCTCCTCTCCTTCACACTGTTCTTCTCTCCTCTCCTTCACACTGTTCTTCTCTCCTCTCCTTCACACTGTTCTTCTCTCCTCTCCTTCACACTGTTCTTCTCTCCTTCACACTGTTCTTCTCTCCTCTCCTTCACACTGTTCTTCTCTCCTCTCCTTCACACTGTTCTTTTCTCCTCTCCTTCACACTGTTCTTCTCTCCTCTCCTTCACATTGTTCTTTTCTCCTCTCCTTCACACTGTTCTTCTCTCATCTTCTTCACACTGTTTTCTCTCCTCTTCACAACTGTTCTTCTCTCCTCTCCTTCACATTGTTCTTTTCTCCTCTCCTTCACACTGTTCTTCTCTCCTCTCCTTCACACTGTTCTTCTCTCCTCTCCTTCACACTGTTCTTCTTTCCTCTCCTTCACACTGTTCTTCTCTCCTTCACACTGTTCTTCTCTCCTCTCCTTCACACTGTTCTTCTCTCCTCTCCTTCACACTGTTCTTTTCTCTCTCCTTCACACTGTTCTCTCCTTTCCTTCACATTGTTCTTTTCTCCTCTCCTTCACACTGTTCTTCTCTCCTCTTCTTCACACTGTTCTTCTCTCCTCTCCTTCACACTGTTCTTCTCTCCTCTCCTTCACATTGTTCTTTTCTCCTCTCCTTCACACTGTTCTTCTCTCCTCTCCTTCACACTGTTCTTCTCCCTCTCCTTCACACTGTTCTTCTCTCCTCTCCTTCACACTGTTCTTCTCTCCTTCACACTGTTCTTCTCTCCTCTCCTTCACACTGTTCTTCTCTCCTCTCCTTCACACTGTTCTTTTCTCCTCTCCTTCACACTGTTCTCTCCTTTCCTTCACATTGTTCTTTCTCTCTCCTTCACACTGTTCTTCTACTCCTCTTCTTCACACTGTTCTTCTCTCCTCTCCTTCACACTGTTCTTCTCTCCTCTCCTTCACATTGTTCTTTTCTCCTCTCCTTCACACTGTTCTTCTCTCCTCTCCTTCACACTGTTCTTCTCTCCTCTCCTTCACACTGTTCTTTTCTCCTTCACAATGTTCTTCTCTCCCTCACACTTTTCTTTTCTCCTTTATAATGTTCTTCTCTCCTCTTCTTCACAATATTCTTCTCTCCTCTCCTTCACACTGTTCTTCTCTCCTCTCCTTCACACTGTTCTTCTCTCCTCTCCTTCACAATGTTCTTCTCTCCTCTCCTTCACACTGTTCTTCTCTCCTCTCCTTCACAATGTTCTTCTCTCCTTCACACTGTTCTTCTCTCCTCTCCTTCACAATGTTCTTCTCTACTCTTCTTCACACTGTTCTTCTCTCCTCTCCTTCACACTGTTCTTCTCTCCTCTCCTTCACACTGTTCTTTTCTCCTTCACAATGTTCTTCTCTCCTCTCCTTCACACTGTTTTTCTCTCCTCTCCTTCGCAATGTTCTTCTCTCCTCTCCTTCACAATGTTCCTCTCTCCTCTCCTTCACAATGTTCTTCTCTCCTCTCCTTCACACTGTTCTTCTCTCCTCTCCTTCACAATGTTCTTCTCTCCTCTCCTTCACAATGTTCTTCTCTCCTCTCCTTCACAATGTTCTTCTCTCCTCTCCTTCACACTGTTCTTCTCTCCTCTTCTTCACACTGTTCATCTCTCCTCTCCTTCACACTGTTCTTTTCTTCTTCACACTGTTCTTCTCTCCTCTCCTTCACACTGTTCTTCTCTCCTCTTCTTCACACTGTTCTTCTCTCCTCTTCTTCACACTGTTCTTCTCTCCTCTCCTTCACACTGTTCTTCTCTCCTCTCCTTCACACTGTTCTTTTCTCCTTCACACTGTTCTTCTCTCCTCTCCTTCACACTGTTCTTCTACCTCCTCTTTTCACACTGTTCTCTCTCCTCTCTTCACACTGTTCTTCTTCCTCTCCTTCACACTGTTCTTCTCTCCTTCACACTGTTCTTTTCTCCTTCACACTGTTCTTCTCTCCTCTTCTTTACACTGTTCTTCTCTCCTTTCCTTCACACTGTTCTTCTCTCCTCTCCTTCACACTGTTCTTCTCTCCTCTCTTCACACTGTTCTTCTCTCTCTTCTTCACACTATTCTTCTCTCCTCTCCTTCCACTGTTCTTCTCTCCTCTCCTTCACACTATTCATCTCTCCTTCACACTGTTCTTCTCTCCTTCACACTGGTCTTTCCTCTTCTTCACAATGTTCTCCTCTCCTTCACAATGTTCTTCTCTCCTCTCCTTCACACTGTTCTTCTCTCCTCTCCTTCACACTAATCATCTCTCCTTCACACTGTTCTTCTCTCCTCTCCTTCACACTAATCATCTCTCCTTCACACTGTTCTTCTCTCCTTCACACTGTTCTATCCTCTTCTTCACAATGTTCTCCACTCCTTCACAATGTTCTCCTCTCCTTCACAATATTCTCCTCTCCTTCACAATGTTCTCCTCTCCTTCACACTGTTCTTCTCTCCTTCACACTGTTCTATCCTCTCCTTCACAATGTTCTCCTTCAGAATGCTCTCGTCTCCTTCACAATGTTCTCCTCTCCTTCACAATGTTCTCCTTCACAATGTTCTCCTCTCCTTCACAATGTTCTCCTCTCCTTTACAATGTTTTCTTCTCCTTCACAATGTTCTCCTCCTTCACAATGCTCTCCTCCACAATGTTCTCCTCTCCTTCACAATGTTCTCCTCCTTCACAATGTTCTCCTCTTCTTCACAATGTTCTCCTCTCCTTCACAATGTTCTCCTCTCCTTCACAATGTTCTCCTCTCCTTCACAATGTTCTCCTCCTTCACAATGTTCTCCTGTCCTTCACATTGTTCTCCTTCACAATGTTCTCCTCTCCTTCACAATGTTCTCCTCTCCTTCACAATGTTCTCCTGTCCTTCACATTGTTCTCCTTCACAATGTTCTCCTCTCCTTCACAATGTTCTCCTCTCCTTCACAATGTTCTCCTCTACCCTCCTTCACAATTGTCTTCACTTTCCAGTGTACTGATGGAACGCAAAGTTGGATACACTAGCTATTGTTGGGGAAAATGGGATACACAGTAGTAATGCAGAGATACAGCCTGGAATACCCTCACAATGCAGGGATACAGCATGGGATAC